AGGGAAATGCAAATCAAAACCATAATGATATATCACCTTATACTTGTTAGGATAACTATTATCAAAAACAAAAAATAACAAGTGTTAGTGAGGATGTGGGGAAACTGGAATCCATGTGCACTGTGGTGGGAACGTAAGATGATGCAGCCACTATGGAAACAGTATAGGAGTTTCTCAAAAAATTAAAAACAGAACTACCATGTGACCTAGTAATCCTACTTCTGAGTATTTACCTAAAAGAACTGGAAATAGGATCTTGAAGAGATATTTGGCTTCTGATGTTCATTGCAGCATTATTCACGTTATTCAAGGGGTAGAAACAACATTTGTTCATCAATAAATGAATGGATAAAGAAAATGTGGTACATACACGATCTCACTTATATGTGGAATCTGAATAAGTCAAACTCATAGGAATAGGAAGTCACATGGTGGTTACCAGAGGCTGGTGGGGGCAGAGGCAGACAGGGAAAGGGGAGACTTCGGTCAAAGGATACAAAGTTTCAGTTAGATAGTAGGAGTAAGTTCTGTTGATCTATTGCACAGCATGATGACTACAGTTAATAATAATGTATTAGATATTTCAAAACAGCTAAAATAGAGGATTTTAAATGTTTTTACCACAAAGGATCAATATTTGAAGTGATGGATATGCTAATTAGCCTTATTTGAACATTCCACAGTGTATACATGTATTGAAACACTGCATTACACCCCCAAATAAAATTATTATTTGTTAATCAAAAATAAAATGAAGTAAAACAAATAAAAAAGGAAAATGTGATATAGAGATATTATGGAATATTACTCAGTCTTATAAAGAAGTCTTATCATATGGTAAAACATGGATGAAACTTGAGGACATTATGCTAAGTGAAATAAGCCAGTAAAATACTGCATGATTCCACTTATATGAGGTATATAAAGTAAACTCACAGAAGGAAAAAGTAGTCAGAGGCTGGGGGAAGAGGGAAATGGAAAGTTGCTATTCAATGGGTACAGAGTTCAGACATGTAAGATGAAAAATGTCTAGAGATCTGTTCTATAATGTGCATATAGCTAATAATGTATTCTACACTTAAAGATTTGTTTTCTAGTAATAGTTGCAATAGAATGAGTAAGGGAAAACAGTATATCAACTGTTGTGGACCACATAGTTTTGGTTAAAAGCATAGACTGTCTAATGAAAATATCTGGGTTTGAATTCCCAAATAGCTGTGTGATATTGGGCAGGAAACTCAACCTCTCTGTGCCTTAATTTCCCTCCTCTGTATTTGGAGATAATAACAGTATTTACCTTATATTTTGGGTAAGGATTAAATGAGTTAAAATGTGAAAATTGTTTGGAACAGTATCTGGGACATGGTTCTGTATATGTTAGCTATTATTGTATTAAGGATAAGTTTTTACTCTTTTGAAATTTCCTAATAATAATAATAATAATAATTCTATCTATGTTAATACAGGTGTTTTTCTCTTATCTAATCTATAATATTACTTTTGAGATTTAATCCTTTTGGTTTTAGTCTGGCTTTGTTTTGGGTTTATGCACTGAAAAATACCATTTTGTACATAATGATACTTGGAATAAATTTAACAATCCCTACTGGATTATAATGAGAACAGGCAGCACTGGAACCTATTTTTGATAGTTTGTGCCAAAGTCCATGACTTTTAAAATTAAATGGCTTCAGCTTGCAAAATCCTTAGTGCTTATATCCTTATCCCACAAACTCCTCCTATCTTCCCACCATAATAATAAAGGAAAAGGAAGTAGTAAAAGGTGTAATTCACACATGGAAGCTGCTTCTAGATATCCTTCCTCGGATAAAATCCTGCTAGGGCTTGGAGAGAAGAGGGCACATGTTATAGAAATTGGCTCTAGAAGGCTACTATATACCATAACCCTGCAGCCGGGGTCTACTCTGAGAGAATCTCACCACTTGTAGCCAACACAAGGTGACTGAGCTGAGCTCTGGGGTTAACACTAGTTAGAAGGCAGCAGTGATTCACTCAGACTTGAGAGCATTTGAGTTGGGCTGAACACAACGAGGCAGAGAGTTATACAAGCATGTGACAGCTCCCATAGTGGCAGCAATGAACAGTCACTGGAGCCCTGGAGAGCCTAAGTGCATTCTCTCTTTACCACTCTAAAATTATCCAAACTGTTTTCAATTTAAATCATAAATTCTATTCCCATGTGTTAGTCTCTGTGTGTGCATGTGTATTACTTGGGGCAGTTGGATCAGTATTTCATTCAGTCAGCCTAAAGGGCACGGTGACTGATTTATCGGAGAGGCTATAAATATGTCATATTTATCATTTGCAACCACAAAAAGATATTTATTGAGCACTTGTTGAATTCTATTTATTAAAGATGTGATTCATTAATGTTGTAGTAGCATATTGTGTGTCATTAAAAATATGTAGCTTTCAATATATGTTAAGAAAATGGACAACTATAACGAGTTAATATAGAATCATACTGAACTCTTTACAGTTTTTACAAAACTATGAATGTTTCATTTGTCTTTTACCACTTGAATATTCCATGTCTTGAATTTAAATATTTTGCCCTCTCTGGCTCTAGCATGACTTTTTAAAACATGAAAATAGTTTTATTTCTATCCACTAGAACAGTTTGGAGTCTGCTGCAGTAGCAAATGAAGAGTAGTAGAGTGGATTATAAAGGAACAAAAAAGGATTGGGATTCAGAAAGCCTGGGATCAAGTCTCTTTCCTTACCACTATATAACTTTGGACAAGTCTGATACTCAGTTTTCTCAGCCATAGAAAGGGAGTATTCATTCTTACTTGCAGGGTTCTTGTGAATATCAAACGAAATAATGTATATGGCCATAATTTGGAAAATATTAATAGAATGTGTTTATGCAAATGCTATATGTTATTATTCACTTCTGTTGGATGCCTATATATACTCAACAAGAGACTGCATAGAAGAAATGGAAATAAAATGAAATTTCCAATTCATTAGGGCAGTGCATATCGACAGCTTTAATGTGTACCAAAATTAGCACTTTAGAGCTCTAATTATACATATTAACTCTCCACGATGATCAAATGAATCAGGAATTCTTTATTTTAAAAGTATTGCAATGAAGTTATCCTAAGAAGCATGTAACCAACCACATCATTAAAATTGAAAGAATTTAGCAAATTGCCTAGTCTCTGGAGGGACAGACATTGTCTCTTCTTTCAATTTAGCCTCATTCGATGTTTCTAAGAAAAGTTTTCTGGCCATGGCAAATCTGGAAAACTAAGAATGGATTTTTTAACAGCAAAGCACAAGTAGTACCACATCCTATAAAAATATAAGTTTTTAAAAACTGTTATATCTTGTTAATTGTTCTCCATCCCTGAGCTTTTTTCTTTTTTTAATCAAGCATAATATATTGAAGCCAAAGTGTGTCAGGAAAATCAATTTATTGTTAAATTTAATAAAAATTTTATAGTGACAGGCAACATTAAATACATTTAATTATACCTAAAGTATGAATTTTCTGGTGCATTGTTGAGAGTTTTTACAAGACTTCTGTTCAATTAAGAAATATTCCTGCTTACTAACTTAAAAAGATACTTCTTTGAAACACTGAGGACACAATTAGTGCCTGGAACTGGATATTTGCATACCTACCTGAGAGGCATGGGGAGTCTCTGTGTCTTTCTTGTGTATTGGAGGTTTTCCATCTGCAGTCAGCTCAATCATACAAGCAACCTCAGGGCTGCCAACCGGCATTGTGTAGCTAGAAGTAAAACAGAAGAGGCCATTATTGAATGTGTTATTGGCAAGAACAGAGTAACTTCACACATGGATGGTAAGTACTTCTTCAGCGAGAGAGGTACTTTCTGGATCACAATAATCCTGAAATATGGCCTCAGCCAAGTGTAAGCATTTTCAGATAGATAAAAGATATATTTCTTTTCTAACACTGCATTTTATTTTTCTTCTCTCCTCCTGACTTTAAATCAGGACTTGCAATGCTTTCAGAAAGTTAAACCCCCTACAAAACAAAAAGAGCTTTATGTGTATAAGTAGGTATTGATAAATTTTAAGTGCTAACTGTGGTTGACATATGGTCTCACTCACACAGGAGATTGTTGGACAAGTAACATCAATGTTAAATGATGCTAAATTCCCTAGGTAGAAATTTCCCCTCCCTGGCCTACAGGGGAAATAGAAATGGAATAAGAAATGAAAGGCTGCACACCCCTGAGCAGTGAGATTACACCGTGATACAGTTATCAGAACTCAGAAAGCATGTTACTAATGTACCGGCTGGTACTGTGTCTCAGAGATAAAGAAAAGTTTAAGGCTCAGGGAATTTGTAGAATGAATAACAGAAAGGGTCAATACACAACTGAAAATTTATCAGAGTTTATAGAATGATGCAATCAGATGAAAAGGTACATATACTAAGGAACCCGGCATACTTTTTAAACAGTATATTTAGAATTTTAAAAGACAATTCAAATGCTATTACCCTGGCACTTGCCATATGTACCAATAGTAACTTGTATTGTTATGAAGTTTATTCCATAGAGATAATAGTAGAAGTACATTCACTAATATTAATAATGGCTATCTCGGAAGCTGGGAGTATGGATGATTTCGATTCTCATTTTTGCTTAGTTGTATTTTCTAAATTTTGGGCAACGAACACATTTCGTTTTTATTTTTAGTTTTGGCCAACCTTTCCAGTTTTCCTGCGCCTGAGGGGTTTTTCAGGATGCGGCACTTTCAGTGCTAAAACCAGAGAAGTTCCTGGCAAACCAGGAGCAGTTTGCCAGCTCTATTTTTTTTTTAAATCAATTTTATTAAATAATCATTGGTTAAATAATTTACTTATATGTTACTTTTTAGTAAATAATTTACTAATACTTTTACTAATACTAAATACGTTACTAACACTAATAATCTTAAAAGAACTTTGTAGACTTAGTTGAATGGGAAAAACAAACTTAAACTCCCCTTTCCCTCACCCCTTCAAAAGGCACAGCGGTGGGCTGGTTCCTTCTCCCCCCTTACCTAGTAATACAAATCTAATATGGTCCTTCCAATAAATCATTCCACTACTCTCCATTCCAGTTTTACCGGGGTCACTTCTAATTCTGATGGGATCACTATCGAAAATTCTGAAATTCTAAGAAGTTCCCATTGGTGTGAGCTGTGTATTGTAGGGACATGTGAAGCACCATCATATGGGAATGGATCGTTCACATGGATCAGGCAGGTTGATATGGGCAGGTTGACATGTTCAGAGGCTTTATATTGGAGACGGAGAATAGCTCTCAGGGAATGTATATGCCCTCATTAACAAATAATAAGATCTCTGTTTCATTCAGAGCTTGTTGAAATCTAACCTTGAACTGCAGTTCTGCAAAAGAAAGCCCCTCTATTCTATCTGCTGTTATTCCTCCTTTTCTCTCCCTGACCCTTCAAAAAGGGTTGATCCTGTCGTCTGCTTAGTTTGTGTACTATTTTGGGAATTGATACTTTAAGTTCACCAGAATTTTTTCCACATGTTGATTCTTACCATGTTCATTGTTATAATGTCTCATATTTGCTTACAGACCAAATTGTGTCATAAGAAACAAAAAATACTCTATAATCAAATTAGACATTATGCCACATAAATCACTTGAGGAAAAATCTGAGCGCATATGCCTTATGCCTCTCAAGTATTGCCGAGGCCAGCCAAGTCTAATGATTTAAAGACTCAAGGATCATATTTTGAGACAATCCATTGACTGGCTGAGTGATCTTAGGCAAACCACTTAACCTTTCTTCCCTGACGTGCGATTATCCACAGAAGAGAGATAATCATTCTAAGTTCTTAAATGGCTAGTGAGAATCACATTATTTAATGTACATAAATCATTCAGTGCTAATATTAAAATCCAAGTTAAAGCAATTATTTGCTGACTAGACAGGGATCTCTAAAGAGATTTCTATGAAAATAAACTGCACGGTCAAGTTGAAGTGTTCATTTACTTCTACTAATATTGCTCATAATGAAATTCAAAATCAAATACTCAAGTTGAATTATTTTAAAACCTAAAACTTACTGAAACAGACATTTTTTTTCAGTGTCCTTAACATTCTTGTACTTTAGATTTATAATATTTAGGTATGCTAAGAAATATAGGGAGAAACATTTTGATTTGGAAAAGACTATTTGTAAATTTTGAGAAGATGCTGCTTAACCTGGAAGTTCAGGGTATTGAAAACCAAGGTAAAGGTTATAAACATGTGAAAAAGTGAAGAGTGAATTGGTTAATTATTTTAAGATAACTGAATGCTATCCAGCTTTTTTTTTGTTTGTTGTGAGACAGAGTCTCGCTCTGTCACCCAGGCTAACATGCCATGGTGTCAGCCTAGCTCACAGCAACCTCAAACTCCTGGGCCCAAGTGATCCTTCTGCCTCAGCCTCCCGAGTAGCTGGGAGTACAGGCGCGAGCCACCTCGCCCAGCTAATTTTTTTGTTTCTATTTTTGGTTATGCGGTTAATTGTTTTTTTCTATTTTTAGTAGAGATGGGATCTCGCTCTTGCTCAGGCTGGTCTCGAACTCCTGAGCTCAAGCGATCCTCCTGCCTCGGCCTCCCAGAGTGCTAGGATTACAGGCGTGAGCCATCGCACCCAGCCCTATCCAGCTCTTTAACAAGAGTTATAGAACAAAAATTAGTGACATGAAAAGATACTTGTGTGAAATAGCAAAAGAGGTAAAGACAATTTGAATCATATGATATTATTTTTATGGAAATATGCATAGAGATAATAACAGAACTACATTAACAGTGGCTATCTCTGTATGCTGGGAATGAAGATGATTTTTAAATTGTGTCTTTTGCTTATTTGTATTTTCTAAATTTTGGACATTGAACATATTTTCCAACTTTACCTCTTAAGATAAAAATTCAATTTTTTAAAAACAATCAAGGATTTAATAACTTTCCAACATTTTTCTGTTGTTTCCTGTATTCCATGCCTTCCTTCCAGGTACGTCTATTTATCTTCTTGCCAAATACACTTTTAATAGTTCATGTATCTGGATTGTAAACTTATATCACATTTCATATCTCCCTTGAATAATGGTCTATGCATAAAATTTTGAATTTCTTTTTAGAACTTTAAATAGTACCTGATTATTTTCTGCAATCTATTGCAGATGTGAAGTCGTTATCAGTTCAATTTAAAAGCTGTTCCTTTGCTACTTTACCTTGTTTCTCTGGCAACTTTAAGATCCTGTCTTTATCTGTGATAATGAGTCTAGGTGTGGATTAATCACTGTTTGTTCTTCTCAATACTCTGAGTGTACTTTTGGAAAATTTCAATTTTGGAAAATTCTCACCTGAATCATCTTAAATATTGCTTTTTGGTATTCCCTGAAATCTCTATTTGTAGAATTTAACACTAGACATTTTTTGGAAGCCTCTTAAGCTGTCCTCTAAATTTCTTAATCTTGCTTTCATTTTTTTAAAAAAATTTCTTAAATTCTCTGTCCTATATTCTTCTTAGGGACCCATTTTCCTTTAACTGTTTTCAGACTAGAGTTTATCCCATCTCTTGAATTTTAAATTTCTATAAATTTTTTTTTTAATTCCCAAGATTTTGAGTTTTTTCCAAAATTTTGTGTTTAATTTTTGCCTGATATATTTTTATAATTTCCCTTTTAAATGAAAATGACTTCTTCATTTATACTTTCTAGCATTATAAGAATACTTATTTTTGAGTTTTTTTCTGATTCTTCCATAGTAATTATTTTCTCTAGAGTGATTCATATTTCATTTGTTGATTGGTTCCTTTCTCAATATCATCATGTGTTCTGATATTGTGCTGTGCAGGCTTATTTTGAATGGGATGTATTTTTGTCTTTCTCTCTTTTTGCCCATTCCCACTCTCCTTCTCCTGTCCTCTTCTACTCTGCCCAGCCCTACCTTACAAATGAGAATCCAACCTGATCCTCTCACACCTAAACCAGAATTTTGGATAATGGAAATTCAGTAGTTCTGTCCTACAGTGATATTGAAGGTATCCACAGTTTCATTTACAGAGCCAACAGACACTGCTTGGTGGAGTTCAGGTCATGATACTTTGACTGCATTGTGTTGTGTTCCTGGGATGGCAGCTTCCTAAAAGTTGGAATCCCAGACACCAGTCTCTCTCTTTCCCTCTCTCTTTCTTTCTCTCTCCCTCTCTCTCGCTGTATATATATACATATTTCCCCTGTATATTTTATCTATCTTTACATATCTACAACTATATCAAACCTTTCACAAGTCTTCTTGAGCAAACAGTTTTAGTTCCCTTTACCTTGTAGAAGCTGAGCTTTTCTATTTCTAGACTTATATCTTGGCAAGCCTACAGTATTAGCTCTTTTGTTGCTTTGCATTTTTGTGTATTTCTTGTTCAGGGATACGTTTATCTTGTTTTTGAACTTGCTTTGTGTTTGCAGTTGTCTACTTTTAATTTTCTCTGTCATTGCTAGTGTTTGACACTGAGGAGGAGTGTCGAAGTGTTAAGTTAGAGAGTCATCTTGACCAGAACTCCCACATTTTGTTTTTCTTCTTTTTAAATAAACACAAATATAAAAGATAAAAATAAGTACTTGCCTTTGAAAGATCATGTAAATAGAAAATTATCTTTAATTTGTGAGAGGCAGAAAGAAGAAAAGTTAAGCCATTTAGAGGTAACTTTATAATTTTGC